TGTGAGAAGCCAATTGCGTTATCTTGGACGTCAATAGATGCACTTGATCCGCCATGTTACGAATACTCGTTTGTGTCTCCTGATGAAATCGATATGTATTAGCAGCTAGTAATTCAATGATTTCTTCAAGAGACATACCTGACATGGATGATGGTTGTTGAGACTCTTGATGTTGAAAATTCATTGGTCCGGTCGCATAATTAAAATTGGAATTATCCCACCATCCTTGATCATACATGTTTGGGTAAGGGTCATACCGCGTTTGAAATCGAGGTGAAAAATTTTCAAAAAGTATCAATTGGTGCACTTAGATTATCTTGAAATGCGGGGCATATGTCAATTGAATAACCTGAGGCAAAATAAGTTTCACAATTTGCAACAGCCCATTGATCATTAGGAAAAACACGAGTCTCATAACCCCATTCAGGAATAAAGTCTAGTCTATCATCAAAATACGGAATGTTAGCAGCCATAAACTATATAAAAAAAAGAGAAAAATAAATAAAAAATGAAAACAAGATGAACTCAAAAAGAAACAAATTAATCTGGCACCAGTCCCCGGCAACGGTGCCAAAAATTGACAGGTTGTCAGCCTGTGCAATAATAAAACCTGCTCAACTAAAATTAATTTCTGTAGATAGTGGTAAGTAGGGTCGAATCCACAGGGACTGGGTATAACTGTTTCTTTTCAAATCCACAGTAACAAAGGGGGTGTTTTTGTGCAGAAGGTGACAATCAAAAAAATTCAAATAAAATCTAAGAAACTACTAAAAATTAAATAACAATTTACTAAAATCAAATGAATAATAATTAAGGCTCTAGCCAAGAAATAACTTCAGCAATGGTTCACCTAATTGATTATCGATGCAAAACCAATTCCAATTATTTACTAATAAATAGGTTACAACCGTTAAACAAGCGATGACAGTCAACCCCTCCTTACTGTGTCGGTGATTAAGGTACGCCCGTTAATCACTGCCCTAATTGAAAAATAATCCTAGGTACGCCCGTAAGATTTAATTCCCCAATTGCCTTATGTTTAGAGGAGCCCTATTCTAATCAAATAACACACTACCAGGGTTATTTTAGGTTAGCCCGCGTATTTCCCTGACACAAATCCAATCATGTCAGTTGTCACTATATCAAGGTAATTAAACAATTACGGATTTAATGCCCTAATTGACAATAGATTACCAAATTAACTAATTATCCGGATCCAAGACAATCAATTAATTGAGCAACCATAAGCACTGTAATCAAAGAATATGCGAATACCATTAAATAAAAGAAAAAGATAAAATTAAATCAATCTCACAATTTTTAGGTGAACCAAAACCTCCATAGTTCCTTGGCTAGAAAAGGAGATTTAATTCATCTCTATGGAGAAAATCCCATGCAAAAATTCAGCAGTAATTGTCGAGGACATTCTTCTCTATATGATAAAGAAATCCGAATAATTAAAAATGAGAGGAAAAGTACAAAGTCAAAAGGAATGCTATTGTCTTCTCCGTAGCCTCTAGCCAGAGGCTTACGGGAATAACCCAAAGTGAAGGAACCCTACGCCTCCTCAGTCTGTTGCTTTATTTTGTTTCTATCTTGCGGCCGACCCTATTCCCAAAAGCACTAGAGTCCTAATCAAATTTTGACTTTCTTCTTTCCCGCTGAGCCGCCAAATTGGCCTTCGTTGTGGTATTTTCGTTCTATTCCCTAAAATAAATACAAATTACGAAAAGTGAGTAGAATCTAATAATTAATCCACATCAGGTTAGGTAATAGGGGAAATTAATAATAAAATAAATGATAAAATCGCAACCTATCACAAATATTCATGAGAGACCATAATGTTGTCAAGAATTTGCCTACTAGGGATGAAAGTAGATTGATTTTTGCAAATACAGCAATGCAAGACACCTTTGAGCCTATTAGCTAAGATTTTAGCAATGATTTTGTACATGGTATTACAGAGACTTATGGGTCTAAACTGGTTCAGAGATGTAGGATTTAACACTTTGGGGATAAGAGTGATCACAGTATGATTAACACTCTTTAAGAGGTGACCAGTGTGAAAAAATGTTTGGATAGCATATACCACTTCTGTTTTGATGGTAGTCCAGAATTTTTGAAAGAATAAAGGTGACATACCATCAGCCCCAGGAGCTTTGTCCGGGTTCATAGAGAAAATTACATATTTAATTTCTTCTTCCAGCACTGGTTTTAACAGATTTTCATTCAGATCATCAGTGATAGAGTGGGGTATACCATCCAGTACCTCAGTTAAGTCTCCTACTTCATTGCAGTTCAGGAGGTTCCTATAGTAATCCGCAATTTCATTACTAAACTCCTCCTCGCTCTCAGTCTAAGTACCATCGTCTCGCTGAAGTTTGTTCAGTCTATTTCTCCTTCTCCTACCTTGTACTGAGGCATGGAAATATTTTGTGTTTTTGTCACCATCCTTAAGCCATTGTATCCTTGATTTCTGATGCCAGTGTTGTTCTTCCTCTTTGTATGCATCCTTTAACTGAATCTTTAGGGATGCTACACGTCCCTTTCTGGTGCCCCCATGTGATTGCCGCAGTTCACTCAATTGGTTTTTAATGTGCTCAACCTTCTGCCTTGAGTTTGTTTGGAATTGGTTCTTCCATTTTAGGAGAGCTATACGGCAATTCTTAATCTTTTCTGCACATGAAACATCCTAGATCCATACGTTTCCTGCTGCCAAGCAACCCTGATCACCTCCCCGATGTCATCTCTTTTTAGCCACCTCTTGTCAAAATAAAATCTCTTATTCCTCTGACTAGAGTTCCTCGTTGTGTTAATCATCATAATGCTGTGGTCAGAAGCATAAGAATCTATGTGCCTGCAATTTACATCCTCATAAACCTGTGCCCAAGAAAAGCTACAAAGTCCCCTATCTAGTCTTTGCTTGACCTCACCCGCATCCTCCCAATTGTTACACCAAGTCCAAGGGTGTCCAGTGAAGCCAATATCCATCAATTGATTCCCATTGATGAATTGTTTAAAGTCCTGAAAATTTCTTTCCTCTCTACATGTACCTCCCCATTTTTCTTCGTTGGATACAATATCATTAAAGTCTCCAGCTACAACCCATCTTTCCCCCCCCCATAGACTTTTCCTTTTTTCTATGACCTTCCACTGTCGTTTCCTAACCTGATGGTCACAACTCGCATAAATTCCTACAAACCACCAATCAGAATTAGCCTCCATATCCTCCACATGCGCCTCTATGGTGAAGGCAGTCATCAGTACCTGAACAATTTTCACTTCTTCCTTCCATAGAAGAGCCAAGCCTCATGCCTTGTTCATGGCTTCAAAAACAGCCATCTCATCAAATCTTAAAATGTTCTTCACTTTTTCCATGTATGTTGTCCTATTTTTGGTCTCACTTAAAAACACCATGCTTGGAGAGAAGAGGTTATTTACCTCTCTCAGCTGGGAAATTGTCAAAGGGCTCCCCACTCCTTAACAATTCCACACCTGAACCCTCATTTGCACTCTGGGGTCCAACTAGGCATGGACCCTTCTCCCTCACAACCATTCTTCTCAGAACCTCCAGCAACTTCAATCTTATACTTTTTCAAGTCGTGCACATCAGCCCCAGCGCTCTCCATAACCTCATCCATTTCATTACTTTTTCTTTTCCCTTGGTTTTTCAAATCCCCCAAGTTGATGCATATTCCTTTAAGAGCCTGTCTTCTTTTACTTGGTGACCTCAGAGGCCTTTGAATCCTTTTGTTCTGTTTTTTCACTACCTCTTGCTTCCTACCTGTACTACCCTCATCAACCTGCATTAGTATAGCCTCTGAGTGTCCCTCCTCAGGACCTGGCTTCAAGACCTGCTGGCCTCCCTTCTCCCCCTGAATATGATCAAGCTCGCTACCCATAATCATCATATTTCCTCTATCCTGTTCCTTTCCAGCATTCACATCGGCATGCATATTTGGTTCCGCTCCAGATGATGGTTTTGGAGCTCCAGATTCTGCAATTCCCACCAAGTTTGGAGAGAATACTATATTTGTAGATGGTTTAGGCAAAGCCTCTGTCGGAGTGGTTGTTTGGTCCACTTGCTGTGTTACTGCAATTGGTGTCTCATCCAAACCTCCGGAAACATCACTGCCCGCAGTCTCCCCCCTCTCCTTCTCTACCCAATCCCTATTCTGGTAACTCCAGTGACGTCTTTGGGGGTTAAAAATTACTCCTGTTTGTTTTTTCTAGGGAGACATCTTCCCATTTGCATTCCCTACCCTCATCCAATTTCCATATTGGTTATCCTTTTTCCCTTCAATCCCACTCAAAGACGTTCCACATGATCTCTCGCTGTGTCCTATTCTTCCACAGCTATAGCAAAAATCCGGACATCTCTCATACTTAAAGTGTACCCATTTAACTCCCCCTACCACCTTAATTGTTGTCCCTCTCAGAAGAGGTTGTTCAATATCCACCAGAACAGCTATCTTCAAGTGCCTTCCTTCTTTTCCCCCTGTTTGTGGTATAATGACATCCCTAATCTGATTAAAAACGGATCCTATCTTTTTGCCAACGTCCTTTGAAATCCAGTGAATTGGGAGGTTCCAGACTTGCACCCAGAATGGAGCAAGTTTAAAGGCTTTTTCATCATCCTCTATTCCTTCGTACCACATGTTGACCACCATTAATTGATTATCCAAAATCCAAGGACCTTCCTTAGCTATTCTATCCCTATCACTTTCCTTAGGCAAAATGAATTGGAACAGGTTCGACCCGAGCTCCGCCACAGTCAAATCCTTTGGGTACCCCCAAGCTGCTATAACAAAATTCTTAACTCCCGTATAGTTAGCTACCTTCTCACCCACAATCTTCCCTATCAAGCTGCTTTGGCATTCCTTTAAACCTGAGGATAGCTCCTCTCTCCCCACATCTGTTATCTGCAACTCCTTGATCGATAATTTGAAGCTTTGCAAAATCTCAACAATATCCTCAGCCATGGAACTTAACCTGACGTAATGCTGGTATACCTCTCACCCCCCACACCAATGATCTCAAAGAAAATCGAAAAAGCCACAAAGGAAAATCGAAAAAATATGCTTTTCTCTAGGTAAATGGCAAACTGGTAGGCAACAAAAACAAAAAGAAAAAAACAGAGCACAATGCACCTACTTCTAATGCACCTACACTACCAGACAAGGTAAGATGAGAAAATGGCAGTTAGCTTACTTGTCTGCTGTGGTAGCCACACCGATTGTACTGCTTGTTCATGCTTTGATCTGGTTCCGTGAGTGATATTTCCCGGATCAAGATCTAAAGTGTTGATTCCTCAGAACTAGTTCACCTCCTCTAATCATAAGAACTCCTTCGGTAAACAGTGACTCTTCAGCTCCTACTTACTAATAATAGAATCTGGCAATGATTCTCATTCAATGCTAGTTTTACTGCTTGAAAATTGGCTAAAAGTTAAAAAGGTTGCACCTTTTTGGGCATTTAAGAGCTACCACAAAGGGAAGAGATGCTCTCTTTTAAGAGCTACCACAAAAGGGCACCTTTTTGGTCACTTGGTGCTAGATAGTAGAATCCAATAAATTGAAGTGAAGTGGCTCCATTCTTTGGTACCTGTACTAAACCTTTTCCTTTTTATAATTAATTTATTATGAAATTTAATCTTTTCCTCTTTCCAATTATCTTATGCTCTTGTAAAATACATTTCTAGTATCAAAATTGTGATATTATACTATATTTGTAGTATATTTTTCTCAAGACAAATAATTTGACATGTATAAAGTATTTTATTGTTTAATAAGTGTGTATCATTTAAAATTGTGATTCCATACTTTATTTGTGGTTCAAAGAAATACTAATATAATGCATATAAAATTTGGCATACATATAATTTATTATGATAATTTGCTAGAGTTGTATATAACTTATGAAATGTGAATTAAATTCAGGTTTGAAATTTATTCTCCATGGGTAAGTCAACAACAATTGATGCATTTTTTAAAAGAAAAATTATTGAAGATCAAAAGCACAAGGAGAGTGATGCTACTCGATCATCTATTCTTAGTGAGAGTTTGGTTGTTGAACCTGACGGGTTTTTACTACAAGTGCAAGTTTAATCCGAATTTATACCCGTTTGATTGCAAGTATACAGGCCAAAATTGTAATGTATGGTATGTATCAAGTCGATCCCACGAGGAGCAACTTAAAACAATTACTAGATCCTTATTTTCTCTATTATTTAAACTTATGATGAATTTGAGCAGAGAAATTATATTACTACTATCTATAAATCTGATTTAATAAAAACTAGATGCAAATGGAGAAATTTCACTAAAGATTAAATCTAGAGATGTAGATTCCACTTATGGCACAAAAAATCTAAATGAATGATCTTAATACTTGTTATTACTCTTGTTTAACCAGGGATTCATTTCCAAAAATACCAAAATCACATTCTCATGATAATAATGGTCTAGAACAGCTTAGTTTTTCCTAATCTCTTGGTAAATACTAAGTCTGTTCTTATACACCATTTGAATGTATTTCTATTCTCAGGAACATACAACTCAAGCTCTACTCATGTTAATCCATTGTTTTTACCATTTTTCAATGAGTAAAAATAACTATAAACCTGCTATTGGTGATCAAACAACAACAAGTAATCCAACATACAGAAGTAGACAAGTTAATACAAGATATAACAAGTATAAATCACATTCAATTCATATCACTTGGCCATAAGTTTCATCTACTCCCTAGATAAAGGAAATTAGGTATTCATGAATGATAAAACACTCATAATTTCATTAATGTAAAACATCATAAATTACAAGTACAAGAAGAGTGAAGAAAATCTTAGCCAAGCAATGGTGAAGCTTTCCAAAAATCTGCTATGTCTTGCAGTAGATGATTACAAGATGAATCCTCCAAGAGTTCCTGCAAAATTTACTAGCTAGAGAGTGTTTGCTATCAGAAAATCTGGCTACGTATGGATTGTCCATACCTCCCTATTTTTCTCTATAAAAACTGCTCAAAAGCTTGGTCAAATTTCCACCTCTTGATTCCCAAATCTGAGATTTGTTAAGATAGTCAATAACCAACTTGAAAATAAGCCACCTTTCTTGCCCTTTTGTCTTCTGAAGCATGTGCACCGAATTCCCTTGCATCTTATTGCTAGAAAGTAATCTGAACACCAGAGAAATGGCTGAGCAAATTGCAGAATTTCGGCTACAAAACGCGCCTACACAAAACGCAGCTTCAACCCACATTTTGTCGACTCGCGTTTTCAACTCTGCATTTTTGGCCTAGTTTCAACTGCTATTTTCTCTATGATGGAGGCCAAACTAGCTTTTGTACAAAACACAAAAGTTGTAGCCCTTTGATTTAGCTTTTCAATTCTTCAAGAATCATCCAAATCGGAGATTTGTAGCCTGAGATATGATCGAAATACTATCACCTGGTCAAACCCCTGTTTCAATTTTCGACCACGGAATGCAGCTTCTGTATTCCGACTTTTTGTCCATGAAAACAGCAGAATTGGATTTCGATGTCACATAAAAATTGTAGGTCTCTTTCTTAGCTTTAAAATGGTATAAAGATCACCTCAATCCGATAAGTGTAACTCCAGATATAGTCGAAATACTAAAGAGTGTCAAAACTGTCATGAACCGCACTTCTTCACTTAAACGTTTTTCACTTCATTTCTCTTTTTTACCACTTGAATTGAGCACCAATTATCTAATTTTCACCTCATTTGACATCCTTTGGTGATTGGATCATTTACCTGCAAGAATATGAAGTTTTTACCATTAAAATCAATAGAAATGCCATATTAGCCACTTTTACAAAAGTTGTATATTTTTACCAAAACCTAGTTATTTTAGTTATAAAACTAAATAATCAAACCAAAATTAACTAATAAAATGTACTTAAAAATATGTAAAATAAACTCTTATCAGAACCTCCCAAAAAAGTTTGAAGAGTTGAACTTGAAAAGATTGATATTGCTTCTTTGGAACGTGATCCCGGAAAACCTGTGTTTTAAAACTCGGCCAAGTGTCCGGTCTGAGTCATGCTTAAAAACCGGGTAAGTAAAAATCCGGTCAAAAACCGGGTCTGACTAGGTTTGACCGAAAAAATCGGATTTTCCAGTTCAAACAGTTTTTTTTAAAAAAAAAACTCAAACTTTTTCAATATTATGTTTTGACCCCTAGATTGTTAAAAAATATTAATATACCTCAAATATTTCATACTTTATCAATTTTTTCTTAAATTTTGGTATTATTTTTCAATTAAGTCCATAATTTTAATTCTAAACTTGTTAATGCTCATTAAATAATATAAATTGTTAATTGATTGTTCTAATTTCTTTGTATTTTCTTGTTAAATATATTTAAAACATCTAATATATATGAATATACCTTTATTAATATTAACATGTTATTAGGTATTTTACCTATAATATTTTAATTTTTAAATAATTTTTATTTATGACGTCATCCGGTTCAACCCCTATTGAACCCGGTTGCACGCATTGACCCCTGATCCCTGAGTTTGACCGAGTCGATACCCGGTCCGATTCTGAAAACATAGCGAAAAACCTCCACCTATATGGAGCTATCCTCTTAATCAACAAGATGAAATTCGTCGAGCTTATATCAATTAAGGGCCATATCAAGTTAAGCTTGAAAATTACCCTTCAAGTGGTTCAAAGAAACATGTTCGTCATTTTTGTAGCTCTTGGTTTGCATTGTTTCCATCTTGGCTTGAATATTCTCCATCAATTGATGCTACTTTTTGTCTTCCATTCTATCTATTTAGTAAGCCGAATGGACGAGTTGAATTAAGTGCATTTGTTCTTGGTGGCTTTAACAATTGGAAGAAGGTCAATAATGGAGATAATTGTGCTTTCTTACGACATGTGGGGAAAAGTCCTAACTCATTTCACAGAATTGCGGTAAAAGCATGCAATGATTTGATGAATGCTTCTCAACACATTGGAACTTTCATTGAGAAACAAAGTTTTGAGCAAGTTGAGATTAATCGATTAAGGCTTCAAGTTTCAATTGATGTAGTGCGATGGCTTGCATTTCAAGGTTGTGCCTTTCGAGGATGAGATAAGAGTGAAAAATCTCTTAATCGTGGAAACTTTCATCAACTTATTAAGTTGTTGGCTTCGTATAATGATAAGGTAAGAATGATTTTCTTCTAGCTTTGCATTCTTTCTTGAATTTATATAATATCCATGCTTTAAAGAAATCTTTTAAATTCATAATATGCTTCCATTTAGTTATTATCTTTATAAAATTATAATTATGCTCTATTAATGGATAGGTTGCAAATGTTGTTCAAGAAAATGCTCCATCCAATGCCTCCTATACATCTCATGAAATTCAAAAGGAGATTCTTTATATATTTTCCAATAAGGTTAGAAAAGAAATTTGCCAAGAGATTGGAAATTCAAAATTTTGCACTATAGTTGATGAAGCTCGTGATGAGTCCAAAAGAGAGCATATGGCTCTTGTTTTGAGATATGTAGATAAGGAAGTATGCATCCGTGAACGGTTTTTTGGTGTTATTCATGTCCGTGATACTATGGCTTTAACTTTGAAGGAAGGTATTTTTTTCTAGGGTTAAAAACAAAAAAGCCCCCTGTGATAAGCCTAATACACAGAAAAGCCCCCCATGGTTTCCAAATATACAACACGACCCCTTATACTTTGAACTAAATTGTAAAGGTGACGGAATCCGTTAAACTTAACGAAAATGGTCAAAATGACCAAAATACCCTTATATAATTAAACAAAAGAGAGCTCAAAAAAATCATTTGTTTTATTTTTTAAGTAGAGAGAATTGAGAGTTAAGGGGTAGAATAGGTATATTTCATAAAAATTAGGTATAAAAATTTTTTTTAGGTTCCAATAAGTCATTTCCGTTAAGTTTAACGGATTCCGTCACCTTTACAATTTAGTTCAAAGCATGAGGGGTCGTGTTGTATATTTTGAAACCATGGGGGGCTTTTCTGTGTATTAGGCTTATCACAGGGGGCTTTTTTGTTTTTAACCCTTTTTTCTACTCTCTCTTAACATAATTTGGCCATTCATAACATTCGTGGACAAGGGTATGATGGAGCTATGAGAGGTGAATGGAATGGCTTGCAAGCTTTAATTTGCCATGAATGTCCATATGCCTATTACATTCATTGTTTGGCCTATAGGCTTCAACGTGCTTTAGTTGCAGCTTCTAGAGAAGTAGCTTCTGTTCACCAATTCTTCTCCAATTTAGTTTTCATTATCAACATTGTTCTGCATCTAGCAAACGTAATGATGAATTAAAGGAGGCTCAAACAATTGAAGTTGCTACTAAGATTGCTAATGGTGAACTTGAAATTGGAAGGGGGCTTAATCAAATTGGCACTTTAAAACGAGCTCGAGATACTCGTTGGGGTTCTCATTTGGATTCTATTTCTAGTTTACTGAAAATGTTCAATGCTACTTGTGTGGTTTTAAGTAACATTGCAGCAAATGGAGGAGATGCAAATTTTGCTTTGAATCAGTTGTTATCCTTTGAGTTTGTTTTCACTTTGCATCTTATGAAAGACATTATGGAAATTACTCATCTTCTTTGTATAGCATTGCAACGTAAATCTCAAGATATTTTGAATGCAATGCATCTTGTCTCAAGCACAACAAAGCTACTGAAGAATTTTCGAGATTCGGGATGGGATGATTTCTTGGTGAAAGTTAAATTATTTTGTGAGCAACATCAAATTGATATCCCGGATATGAATGCTCAATATATTGCAAGACGTGGTAGATCTCGAAGTCATCATAATGAGATTAGTGTGGAGCATTATTATCAAGTGGATATATTTCTTGCAACAATTGATTATCAATTGCAAGAGTTACATAGCAGGTTTAATGATCATACCGTGGAATTGCTTGTTTTGAGCACTGCTTTAGATCCTAGAAATGGATTTATGCTGTTCAAGATTGATGATATTTGTAAACTTGCAGAGAAGTTCTATCTGAATGATTTTATGGAGCAAGAACCAGTACGTCTAAGAATAGAACTTCAACATTTTGAGCTCGACATTCCAAATCATCCTGAATTGCAAGAATTATCTGGTATTCATGAGTTATGTCAAGGCTTGGTGAAGACAAGAAAATCAGTGATATCTCCTCTTATTGACAGATTGATTAGACTTGTTCTTATTCTTCCTGTATCAATTGCAACTACAGAGCGGGCATTTTCAATTATGAAAATAATCAAGACAAAGCTCCGAAACACGATCGAAGATCATTTCTTGAATGATTGTCTAACTGTGTATATAGAAAAGGAAGTTGTTGAAAATTTAGCAGTGATTCAATCATAGATGATTTTTGTTATGACTGTACCGCATATTTATGAATAGACATACCTTTATAATTAAATTTAATATTTGATATTTTTAGATGTCATATATTTAAATAGAAGAAAATTATTTTGAACATAATATATTAAGATAATTTTATTAGGAAAAAATTTTGGCCCCCCCCCAAAAAAAATCCTGGCCCCGTCACTGATTATATCTGATTATATTTAATTAAAAGCTTAATGGTACTACACACAAATGTCAAACATTAGTTTTTTTTTTTTACAAGGAATAGTCATAATTCTGTAAAATCTGATTGCATTTGAAACTGTATAGGCCCATAAAGCTATAAGCCAACAAACATTTTTTAGGAAATTCACTGAGATCAAATAGCTTTTAGAAATTAGGCGAGTGTAAAACTGAAAAGCATTTGAAAAAAATGGTATAAATAGTTAAAAGAATAGTGCAAGGAAAATTATTTCTATAGTGTGAAAAAATAAACTTGGAATTGCAAAAAGTTAGAAGGAAACCCCCTAGATATTTAGGGCTTCAAAACTTCATATTCGTGTTTGAAATAATGGTAGAATGGGAGAGTGTGGATTTAGCTCCACCCTTAGATTCTTATAATCTCATACAGAATTTAATTCCCTATGTGATTTATCATTTATATATACTCGAAGCTTGCTTATAACCATTGCAACAAATTGTACGCATTAAAAGTTAATTCTTGATCATCAGCAAAATTCAATAACAATGTCTTCGTACACTGTTAGGAATATATGGATTTGAATGTAAATTGAGTATTTGTTTTCTTTCATTATCATCTATAGATATCACAAATGAATATGTTAACTTAGCATTTTGATACATCAAGATCAGATCTTAATTACTCAAGTCGCTACTGGCCTGTGTGGAAGGAATCTCAAGTCTATTGGCTTGGGAGGTTTTCACTTTCTAATAATAATAGACCTGTACAATTCCACAAAGCAATGCATTTATGAGTCAACTAATGACTAGAATACTAAAGTTGATTGATTTCGTATTTTGCGGGTAATCCTTATAAATGAAGAGTAAGTTACCCGTTGCCAAGGTCAGAGTTCAAATTTCAATTCTAACAAATAAGTGAATATTTTCCTCACTATATATAGGTTGTTATTCCCATCCTTTTGTGAGTTATTGTTGAATTATTTGTGATGATGTTCCAAGTGTAGATCGTTTGTATTATCCCAGTGGATTTCGATTGTAATCATGTGTACCCTTATTGAAACAAAAAATAATAATAATAATAATGTATGCAATAAGGAAAGGCAAAGGAGGAAAAAATTGGAAGTAATTGTCATATACATTTTTTTATAAAAGTGTGTATGTTGACCAAAATTTTAATATCTTCTACAGATATCACAAAATAAATGTTAAATTAGCTGGTTTTGATATGTCATGATCAACACTTAATTGGTCAAGTCGTTCTTCTTTTTTTTTTTTTTTAACTATCAATTTTGGAGTCCACGAATTGAAGTCGTCTGTGAAATTTTGTTACTAATTAACTGGCCCGAAAACTGCTAGGTTTTCAATGTTAGCATTGGGTCTAACGACGCAAGCATCCGAGTTCTTACTGCATGCATGTAATTTTTTCTTGCAAGGGTTTACAATACTTGGAGCTTTGACCAAAAAAAAAAAATTTTTTTTTGTTTGAGCAAATGACAACTTTTATTGATCATCATCATCGGAAGATATCTGTCGCAAATATTAGGATACACTAACCAGGAAGTTTACACCAGGCCGTGACGAGGCTTTGGAGTTTGTTGCGATTTCATTGTGAAGCAGTTGGAGAAATTTGTTACTACTTCAAAATTTAAGCTAAAATTCTACTTGTCACTATTGTCAAATTACTATAAATTATGACCGGTGAAAATGAACTCTCGAGTCAGCCCCTATCTCTCTCTCTCTCACTCTCTCTTCATTTGTATATGTGTGTGTGTATATATATATATACACACACACTCACTACCAACTGCCAAATACATGTGTAATACTCCATATGTATGAATGTATATTCTTGGTAGTTGGTGCATGCATGGTATATTAACTAGCACCCGAATGGACTTAAACAATTGGCATAACCGACATTTAGTACGAGGTATCCATCAATCAAGAACAAGAACGTTAGCTTGAGGGCCCCCAACAAAAACAAAATGGATCTTGTTGCTGATGATTGCAAGCAGGATTCGTTACAACGTCGTTTTCTCCGGTCTGAATGACGAGTTTTGGGCAACGTCTCTCACCAATGTACTAAATTTTACTAGTAGTAGTTGAAAGGATCAAATTTGACTACGAAAGTAAACTCAACTAGATGTTGAAACTTCCAAGATCAGAAAAACAACGCTTGCTGAAAGATGAGAAGATATAGCATCCGGAAACTGTTAGACGGGAGGAACTCGGTCTTATAATTGTTTGAGGCGTTTTTTTTTTTTTTTGGTATTAAAAGGGACTATATATTGAAAAAAAACTTAAGTTATATGGAGGAAAGGCGTTTGAGGACAAAAAGAAATGCCTCTTGAACTAAAATTATGTATGACTTCTCTTCTCTACACGTCTAATTTCAACTCTTTTTTTCCCTCTCTTCTGGAAGTTCCATCTTGACTTGAGTTCTGAGTGCTTGTTCTTGATTAATTTTTGGTTACTTTTTCCGTAGTTATTGTTCTTGAATATATTCTTCTTGTTAGCCGCAATTGGTGGTAATATGAAAACCAAGTGATAGTGCATTCTCATTCGATATTTGTTCATGAAAAAACAAGAAAGTTTGTCGCCTAATAATGGTAACAAGGAAAAGAAAGATTATATGAATATATGGCCATTTACAATCCATATTAAAGTCGTACCTTCGTCTAGTAGTTTTGGGGTCTAGGGTTGAAGAGGTCCGAAAAATTATTGATAGGGGGAAACATCACGAGAAAATCTATCAAAGAGCCCAATAGTTTTGGGGTCCAGGATTGAAGAGGTCCGAAGAATTATTCATAGGGGAAAGAGCCCAATATGTAAATTAGAAACCCAACTCTAACCCAAAACCTTAAGCCATTAGGTCTCGGGCCCTTACTTACATATTAATCGTTCTTTCTCTATTTTTACTCAACAACGCAATCCCATCTTATCACCTACGATCAACTCTTCTTCCAAATATGGACCCACTCTTCTTCAACATTCAAACTGGATTTTTGGACCTCCCTTGGCTCCATCTCAAACCAATATGTAAGTTAGGAACCCAATTTGATAGGGGGAAATACCACGAGAGAGTCTACCAAAGAGTCCAATACGTAAGTTAGGAACCCAACTCTGACCCAAAAACTTAAACCATTAGGTTTCGGGCTCTTACTTACATATTAATCGCTCTTTCTCTATCTTTCGAACCAATGTGGGACTAACCCTTTACTCATGAATCTAACAAATTATGAGTCAATTGACTTGGGAGGTTTCGTTTAATAAACCAGTAGAATTCCACGAACGATACTTTAAAAGTTTATAAATTCACCTAGTAATGAAATCAAATACACACCACCAACCTGTGAATCAATTTTGCATTGGAAGTTTTAGAAGTGAGAAGAAAATGAAGCTATTTTATTTCTTCATTTTATTATCCATGATGAATTTATGTGATGCCTCAAGCAAGAAGACTCAGGTCAGGAAAACGTTGAGCAGTTCAAAGAAGATCCCTGTCAAGTCCATCAAGGTTATTCCTTCTTCGCTCACTTTAATATTCATGGTGCCTGTGTTCATGTTCTTGTGTACACCTACGTACTTGTTTTTCTATGTCTTGTTCTAATTTCTTACATAACAAATTGAAATATTTAAGTGCGCTGTCCACATTTTTAGGACTCACGTACATGACTAACTGATGCATGATTGTTTTAAATGGCAGAGCCCTGATGGTGATATTATTGATTGTATCAACATTTATCATCAACCAGCGTTTGATCATCCTTTGCTAAAAAATCATACCATTTTGGTGAGCCTTTCTATCCCACCCAAAAGCAAGACAAGGGAAAAATCTCTACAAGTAAAAATTTTATGTATTTTTTGCACGTTGCAGATGAGGCCTAGTTTGCAGCCTCGGAAAGGACCAATTGGTGGGGGTGAACCATTCAAATCCAATTCTCATGGCCAAGAGGATAAAAACCCAATTAATCAGTTATGGCAGTTGGGTGGGAGATGCCCTGAAGGAACTATTCCTATTAGAAGATACCAGAAAGCAAGATATGCAAAGAAGGAGCACAGAAACTTTCCCCAGCTCGCTGACTTTTCCAATCACGAGGTGCCCTAAACAACTGGAAATTTGCTGTGTACCATAAACAATACGAGTCTTGTAGATTTTTTTTTTTTTTTTTTTTTAGGTGTTGATATGCATGACAGAATCACTTGAAACATCTACTCATACTATATCTTTGCTAGAATTTTGTAGCAACACACGCATGCATCTTTACATATATAGGTTTAATACTTGGTGTCTGCTAATTTTCCTTTGGAGTATTATATATCAAAATTCCTTTAACAGGAAGGTAATTTTTGAGTTTGTTTAAATCTCTCTCATTTTTAGCTTATTAATTTTGTCGATTTCTCATTTTCTTTTTTCTTCAATTCTTTAGTATGCATTTGCATATGTCCAAAGTAACAAGTTTTTGGGAGCAAAGGCAACAATAAACCTTTGGCAACCCCAAGTTCAGGGCAGTGGTGAATTTAGCTTGGCTCAAATATGGGTTCTTGCAGGTGCTGATTCAGCTCTGAACAGCGTTGAAGCTGGTTGGACGGTACTTCTTCCCTATCATAAATAGTCAATCAGCAATTCAACAATAAACACATCTGGCCATGCATGTGCCTTGAACTTTATTGTCTACTTATTTCGTTTGTTAATATATATAATAGGTATATCCAAGTCACTTTGGAGATAGCAACACAAGACTTTTCAATTACTGGACTGTAAGTCACAAAATATTATCAATCCTAATGCAAATATAATATGTTTGCCTGAGTCTAAATTTTTATCATATGTATGTATCAAAATTTGGTAATGCTAACAGCGTGATCGTTATCAATCCACTGGGTGCTACAACTTGGAATGCCCTGGCTTTGTTCAAACCAGTAATTCAATTGCATTGGGTGCCACCATTTCACCAGTTTCTACCTATCATGGTGCTCAACATGAAATCACCCTACATATCTTTAAGGTAATGACAGCCAAAATTGATTAAGATCCCAGCATATTATGTACAACAAAACCCTAATTTTTTTTTCTGGGATTTGGAAAAACTCATAATATAGTGGTATAATTTTGTTTAGGACCCAAAGAAAAATGTGTGGTGGCTACAACACGGGAATGACGATGTAATTGGTTATTGGCCTGCTTCCTTATTTAAAGACCTAGCAGACAGTGCTTCACTAATTGAATGGGGTGGAGAGATAATAAATAATGCTCAAGGTGGGCAACACACCACAACTCAAATGGGCAGTGGCCATTTTGCTGAAGAACGAGCTAGAGGGGCAAGTTACTTCAAGAAACTTCAAGTAGTTGATCAATCCAGCACCTTAGTCCCTCCTGGTGATATCAAAGCTGTAGCTACGAAGCCGAATTGCTACAACATAGTACCTGGAAAGAGTGATAATGCCGGAGATTACTTTTACTTTGGTGGACCAGGAAGAAATCCTAAGTGTCCATGACCAAAAACTAATAACCCCATGCAGATGTTCTTTCTTCTGGACTCCAAAATCGAATGTTATAAAATAAATTTCTAAGTTGTTCAGTTTTTGTTACATTAACCAGTTTTCTTTTCTCCATTTCCCGTCATATGATAATTGACTTTTTATATTTATCGAGAGATTGTTGGAGCAAATACGGTCCAGTAACATATACATGAAGGATCCATTGCTATCAAATTGAAAATTTCTTCCTCAAAGTGAAAAATGATTCGTTATAACCAAAATCTTTTTTTTTTCCACATCTTTACAGGGGAATGAAGATGATTTTTTTTTTTTTTTTGCAATCACTTCGCAACCTAACATGCTGCATTCATGTATGAGATTCAAATGTTAGCTTATTCATTCCATGTTCTATTATCAAATTAAATGCCAATATCCTACTTTAAACTCTATTTCCATTTTTGCTGGATATGACGTTTTCAGCTGTCTGAATTTTCTTGAGGAACGATTCCATTATCGGGAGATGTCTTTGGGGCTATGTAGCATACTGGATCTCGTATGTCTTACTAAAAGGTTAAAAAAGCAAAATAGTTTTCTATTAACTATTGTAAAATCCATTACGTCTTATCCCATTATTTTCTTTGTTTATTTGGAAAAATTTTATGATACATTTTAGTATTTCGGTTATTAGCACTATATTTATTTCTTCTTTGGCTGTCCAAATATGTTTCGAATTCTTTCTTTGATGCATAAATTAAAAGAGTTGCATCTTTTGATTAATTGTTTAAGTTCCATGTATAGTGACTCAAATTGGTTAAGTAACTTTCAGCTGCACAGATTAAAATGAATAAACGAAGGTGGAAAAAGAACATAGTTCAAAGACAACATGCATGGTACATCTATGCAATTGAAATGTATACCTAATTAGAAACTAAATATCTTCTTTTACATTATATCAAGTCAAAGATACATAATTAAAAAGGAAGTAAAACTCGAGATATGAAAGTAGAATAAAAAAATGTCTCCCCATGTGAGGAAAATAATAAATACCAAATTATACATTCTTTGACGAAATTACTACAATTGAACAGCAGTCCAAAGGATTGAGTTATCAATTTAAATATATTTCATTGTTATATGTAGAAATTAATCTTTACAAGAATCATTTTAAACGTCTCTCGCATTTTTTCAAATGAATATTGTCATCCTTCACTTTTAAAATAGTAAATTTACGTTTCTTACCTAGGTTTAAAATAGTAAATTTAAACTAGTAAATTTAAAATAGTAAACTAGTATAATGTCATCCTTCACTTTTAAAATAGTAAATTTAAAATAGTAAATCAAGTCCATAAATTTTGATTCAATCTAAGTTTTCGATCATTTTTTACCTTGTCAAATGGCTGCATAACTTAATTATACTGAACCAACATTTTTTACTGTGATTTGAGATAGTTATATACTGGATGGATTTTTGTTAGGACCAAAACAGGGCGTGTGGTGGTTACAATATGGAATGACAGTCACAAAGTGAGATTAATAACGTTCATTGGGCTACAAACTTCTGACTAGGAGACTTAAGTTTAGGATTTTCTTTTTCTATGGTTTCGACCTTAGTTATTTTCAGCACTAGATATGCGCCTCATTGATAAATTAAGTAGATTTCATTTTTATATTAAAAAAAAAAAGTAAAATGATACATTGATCATCTCATGTCTCTTGACAGAGAAAATTGTGCTTACAGGACCATTTGCATTTGCTAGAATTCCTATTGCACCTGTACTGATGTTTAAGAGTGGAGTTTATTATTATTGTTTTTATAATTGTTATCATATATGTGTCTGTCTGTATCTGATTATATATGCCTAGAACTATATCCATCAACCTGTACTAATGTTGAACGAGTAATGAGATTCTAGGGATTTATTCACGTTCATTGGATATATTTATCACTGATAGAGCAATTATTAGACATATTTTACACTATTATTCTGTCCTAATTTTGGCTACTCATGATGCTAAGAATTGAGAATTTGCTCATATTTCATATTTGTATGAATTATAGATGATTGGCGTTAAAAGTAATCTCTTGAGACAAATTTTCAGAAGACCCTTCATCTCAGGACGTGACCACGCCAGAAAAGGTAGATGTTGCCGAAAAGGCGGATCCGCGGGACCAATAGCAGGAGACCCAATTAAGAAACCCGGTCTACGTGGACCAGATGCGTAAGATCAAAGCCCTTGGACAAAAAGCCTTGTTCCTAATGCTTTTCTCCTGTGGCGGCTATAAAAGAATAGAAAAGCCAGATTCACAATCAATCAATACCTTAGCTTTAGTTTTCTTTTCCCAGATCTGTCAGACGCTTTTTCCCTTTTTCTTTCTTCTCTTCGGTAGCAATTAGAATAGGCCAAGCGGCTATTTTCCTTTTGACTTTTACGCTTGCTCTGGACAATTTCGGTTAGCCTTTTGCTTTGTAATTGCGGCTCCAAAACGAAGGTGGAGTCAGGGCATTCTCGGTTGTTTCTTCACTTAACTCACCTTCCCCAATTCTTCGGCAATTAATTGAATGAAATCAATCAACTCATGCGAGCTTGATACGATGAGGAGCGGCTAATTTTCTCCTCTACCCAAAGGTCAACGTGAAGGCGCGGTCCATAATATCTGTGAGATCTAATCGAATCTTCATTATTTCTTTCAATTTGTTGCTATTCGTGCGTTTCCTGAATTAATTGTTCATGGGTATTTCATTAATTGAATATCAACGGTCGGGTATTTGATTTAATTTAATAGCCTACTGTTACATTGACTAAATTGAATCCGTAATTGTTCGTTTAGTTGATACCTAGTGACAACCACCATAATTGGCTTTATGTTGGGGAAACGTAAGATCTAGTTTAAATAAACCCTCTTAGCGTGTTTATTAGTTAGGGTTGGGTTCTTCTAGTGTTAATGCAATTGGGTAATTAAATTACTACGGTCGTACCTAGGGTTGTTATCTGGTTAGGGAAGCAGTCAATGGTCGTACCTTGACTGTCGAAAAAGTAAGGAAGAACTGGTTGTCAGAGTTTGTTGATAACTATAACCAACCTAGTAATGAATGGATGAAATATCTTTGCATCGATGATCATTTAATTGGACCGTGCCTGAGTAGTTGATCCTTTGGGTAAAACTTCATTAATTGCTACTTTTAGTAACTTGTGCTTTGTGAATTATTTTTGAATTTAGTTTGCTTTATTTTTATTCTTATTTTTTATTTGCCTCGCATTAAAAATCCCCCAATTTTATTCTATTGACTTGGAAAGAAATAATTTCCTACCCGCTTCCTGTGGAATCGACCCTACTTGTCATTGTATGCAAAATTAATATTTTTATAGACAAATCTGGTATATCGGATCAAGCAAACTCTTCGAAAATAGGGTGAATCAAGTAACCCATTGCACACCTAAGGTCCCTGCTCCAGTACTTGGATTTGTTCTATAATTAATTGTGGTGGTAATTAGGACTTTTTAGTAATTATTATTGCACAGGTTCGGCACTTGTCAATTTTTGGCGCCGTTGCCGGGGAGCTGGGGTTTGGATTATTTGTTTCTTTTCAAATTCAGCTTTTATTTTATTTTATTCTATTCTTCTTGGTATTTTTGCTAATTTATGCCTCGTTCTTCTCGCACAGGTGAATTGATATACGACCTTGAGGTTGAGAAGGCAGCGCGTAGGCGGAGGCAAGAGACCAAGAGACGAAAAGAAGGGCACTTATTTATTGCAAACGAGTCAGTGGAAGACGAAATAAGCATGGCCAACACCCAAACATTAAGAGAGCTGGCTGCCCCGGAGCTGACTCACCAGCCCTTATGCATCACATTCCCTACTTTGGCTGAGAATACCGCTTTCAAACTGAAGTCGGGGTTGATTCACCTCTTACCTTCTTTCCATGGTCTCTCTGGTGAAAAACCCCACAAACACGTTAAAGAGTTCGAGGTGGTTTGTTCTAGTATGAAACCCCCTAGGGTCACTGAAGAGCAAATTAGACTGAGAGCCTTTCCGTTCTCTCTCAAAAATGCAGCTAAAGATTGGCTGTACTACCTACCAGCAGGTAGTATTACCACATGGGCACAGTTAAAGAAGAAGTTTTTGGAAAAATTCTTCCCTGCATTCCGGGCTGCGAGTCTGAGGAAGGAGATCTGCAGCATTAAACAGTATCCCGGAGAGTCCTTCTATGAATATTGGGAAAGGTTTAACAAGTGCACTAGATGCCCGTAGTATCAAATTAGTGAACAACTGTTGATCCAATACTTCAATAAAGGACTCCAATCAACTGATAGGAGCATCATTGACGCTGCGAGTGGGGGAGCACTGGCAAACAAGACAATGAAGGAAGCGTGGGAGCTTATCGAAGCCATGGCAGAGAACTCCCAGCAATTTGGCTTCCGTGAGAGCAACCCTACCCGTAGAGTCAACGAGATAGAGACTTCATCCATACAGCAACAACTGTCAGAGTTGACGTTTGTTGTTAGGCAATTAGCCATGAGAGACACGCCGCAAGTGAAAGTATGTGGAATTTGCACGAGTATGGACCATTGCACGGACACGTGCCCCATTTTGCAAGAGAACGGGGCGAAACAGGTAAACATGGCCGGAGGCGTGCCCGCACCCCGCAGGCAGTATGACCCGTACTCCAATACGTACAATCCGGGCTGGAGGGACCATCCCAATTTCAGTTATGGTAACAAGCCACAGAATTCATTTTCTAATCGTCCACCAGGATTCCAACAACCGTGGCAACCAAAGGCTCAACCCTCATCCTCTAGCTCAGGAAATTCTTTGGAAGAAATTGTCAAGAGTTTAGCAACAACCACCACTCAGCTCCAGCAAGAGACTAGAACCTTAGTCACGACCACTGCTCAACTCCAGCAAGAGACTAGGTCCCTGGTTGCGAGCTCTACTCAGTTTCAACAGGACACCAGAGCGGGCATGAAAGACATGGAGACTCGAATGAGCCAAATGGCAACTGCCATTAATCGCCTGGAGTCCCACGTCTATGAAAAATTACTTTCGCAGCCTGAAGAAAACCCCAAAAATGTAAGTGCCATGACACTGAAGAGTGGCAAGGAACTGGAAGGGCCTAAAGTGAAAAATCCAAAAAGCAGAAATGAAGAAGAAATCGAGAAGGAGATGGAAGAAGACGAGCGCATTCGCAAAGTGTCTAAGGTAACATCTATTCCTTCGATCCCTATTAAATCTCATCTAGCTCCTTTTCCTTGCAGGTTGGAAAAGACAAAGAGGGCAGAAAGGGAAAAAGAAATCCTGGATGTGTTCCGCAAAGTTCAAGTAAACATCCCCCTATTGGACGCGATCAAGCAGGTACCCAAGTACGCAAAATTCTTGAAAGACTTGTGCGTTAACAAAAGAAAGCTAAAGGGTGATGAGAAAGTGATGGTAGGAGAGAATGTATCAACTGTGCTTCAAAGGAAACTCCCACCCAAATGCGGGGATCCGAGTATGTTTACTATTCCCTGTAAGATTGGCCATTCTAGTATCAAAAATGCCATGATAGATTTAGGGGTTTCTATTAATGTGATGTCTAAGTCAATCTATGATTCCTTAAATTTAGGACCTTTAAAAGAAACGGGGGTAATAATTCAATTGGCTGATCATACATGTGCTTATCCAGATGGGATAGTTGAGGATGTTTTAGTGCAAGTAGATGGATTAATTTTTCCTGCTGATTTTTATGTGCTTTACATGGATGATAGAAGTGCCCCAAATCCATCACCAATTGTATTAGAAAGGCCATTCTTGAGTACTGCCCAGACTAAAATTGATGTTAGTAAGGGTACTCTCACGATGGAATTTGATGGAGAAATAGTCCATTTTAATATTTTTGATACAATGAAACATCCTGTTAACTCTCATTCTGTGTTTGCTATTTATACCACTAATTTCCCTGTGCAAGAATTTTCTGAGTTTGTTTGTAGGGGTAAATTCAAAGCTGCTGCGAACAAGTACCATAGGATGAAAGCAATTCATGAAGTGAAAATGGAGAGAAAATTTAGAAAAAAAGTTGCACTCAATGGCTATGTGGATCCTGGAGGAGGGCCACCAATTACAAGAAAAATTCAAATACATCCAGACTAAAGAGTGGTGTTATGTCTAGCCAAAGACATTAAAGAAAGGCGCTATTTGGAAGGCAACCCAAGGACTACAGTATTAGTTGTTGTCATTTTTGTACTTTGTGATTTTTCAATTCTATTTTTCTATTTTAACTGTTTTTGTGGTGATTAACAGAAGACTAAACTTTACAGGGCGTGCCCACGCCTTACAGGGGTACGCCAGGTGCACTATACAAGTTGGGGGACTATCAGTTTCAAGGCGTGCCTACACCTTAGAAGGGAATCTTTTAGACATTATTGAGACGCGATGGTCAGAAGATTATAACCTCCAAAACGTGCCCACGCCTTCTAACCTTGGCGACAACGAAAATCAAACGTGACCAGGACCATACTTTTCTACTTTTTATTCTTCTTTGTCTAGTCTTTTCCAATCCCTTTCCAATTGTTTTTCTCTTAGTTTCCCAAGTTCCCCTCCTTGCCTACCACCGCTCTCTCCATCACACCACTGCTTCAAAAATCTCTCTCTTCCATCGCACGCCGACTTCCTTGAGCCACCCATCGCCCTCGACAGCCCACACCAGTTCCAGCCTTCTTTCTCTCTCTCTGTCGATCCACCAGCGCGCAGACGCATCCCCAGAAGCGCAAAGCTCCCACAGAAGCGACCTTCGCGTGCGACAGGCAGCTCAACAGCTCGCCCAGTAGCCGCGCGCCATTTCCCCCGCGCACGACCAACCTCTGCAGCGCACATGCCGTGCGCGCCGCAGTCGCCTTAGTGTCTCGCTGCACCCTCTCGGTAGTCAGGGAAGTTTCGCCCTCCTCTTTGTCCTTGCACTTTCTTTGTCTAGGTTACATTGAGGACAATGTAGGTTTTAGGTGTGGGGGGGGGAATGGTTTCTATTATTTCTTTTTGTTTCTATTATTTCTCTTTATTCAAAAAAAAAAAAGGGTGTAGTTAGTTGACTTTCTTTCTATTTCTACGTTTGTTAACTGCAAGAACACGTTGCTATGATGGATTATGCAATCATGGTGCATGGGTATATGGTAAAATATGCTAGCTGTGCATCTTGCCTCCCTTGGCAATGTCGTTAAATGATGAATATGCTGGACTTGACTCATTCTTGAAACCGTTGGGAGCTTTTGAGCCATGCATGAGCACATTATTCTTGTTTGCTCTATTTTTGTTTGATTGAGTGGGTATCACACATGATATTGGCATTCTAGAACTTGCTATTTTGTACATGTCGAGACCACATTTTGTTAAACTGGATGCATTGGAAATGATAAGGGCGTTTAGGATTTAACCTCCTTTAACTTTCTAAAAATCATGCATTCATCTTGTCTTCCAATAGTGAATCAATTTGAGCTTTTATCCTTCGCTTTTGGTTGTTAGCCGTGTTTGATAACCCATGACCTTTTTTTAGACTTTCTTGTTCAACCTTGTGTCATAAAGAGATGTCTGAAATTCATTACTTATACAAGGCAAATAAATCTATGGTCGCAAGTGTTTTCAGAGTAGATGCTGTATGGTGTTGTTTCTGTACATCCGAGATCGAAAGAAAAAGAAAAAGAGAAAAAAAGTGAAGAAAAAAAAAAAAGAGAGGGGCTCGTGAACAGAAGACTCCAGCCTACAAGGCGTGCCCATGCCTTGCAAGCCGTCTGTTAAAAAAAAAAAAAAATTTGGCGACACTTGCACAGTGGGAATAGCAAATGGAAACGCCCTGCTTGTTAAATTTTTCCGGTAAAGCGCTGTGGTTATGTGGTGGATATCGGACATTCTCTTGACACATTACACCTTATTTTCACCTTCTTATCCCGCCTTTTACCTAAACCCCATTACAACCCTATTAAAGTCCCTTTGATTTGTGTATTTAATTCACTTTCGAGTAGTGGAGATGTGATAAATGTGCAAGCCTATGGTAATGTCATTCCGTGATGTTGAGTTGAGCGTTCCTAGTATTCATATATTTTCTTTGAATTACCATCTGTCCAGTGTGTTCTAATTTTGGCAACATTGTCAGGGATCTAAGATGCTTGTGTAAGTATAGATTACTACATGACCTTTACTCTCTTGATTATACTTCTGAGCTCCAAAATGCTTGAGGACAAGCAGTGTCTAGGTGTGGGAGGATTTGATAGAGCAATTATTAGACACATTTTACACTATTATTCTGTCCTAATTTTGGCTACTCATGATGCTAAGAATTGAGAATTTGCTCATATTTCATATTTGTATGAATTATAGATGATTGGCGTTAAAAGTAATCTCTTGAGGCAAATTTTCAGAAGACCCTTCATCTCAGGGCGTGGCCACCCAAGAAAAGGTAGATGTTGCCGAAAAGCCGGATCCGCGGAACCAATAGCAGGAGACCCAATTAAGAAACCCGGTCTACGTGAACCAGATGCGTAAGATCAGAGCCCTTGGACAAAAAGCCTTGTTCCTAATGCTTTTCTCCTGTGGCGGCTATAAAAGAATAGAAAAGCCAGATTCACAATCAATCAATACCTTAGCTTTAGTTTTCTTTTCCCAGATCTGTCAGACGCTTTTTCCCTTTTTCTTTCTTCTCTTCGGTAGCAATTAGAATAGGCCAGACGGCTATTTTCCTTTTGACTTTTACGCTTGCTCTGGACAATTTCGGTTAGCCTTTTGCTTTGTAATTGCGGCTCCAAAATGAAGGTGGAGTCAGGGCATTCTCGGTTGTTTCTTCACTTAACTCACCTTCCCCAATTCTTCGGCAATTAATTGAATGAAATCAATCAACTCATGCGAGCTTGATACGATGAGGAGCGGCTAATTTTCTCCTCTACCCAAAGGTCGACTCGAAGGCGCGGTCCATAATATCTGTGAGATCTAATCGAATCTTCATTATTTCTTCCAATTTGTTGCTATTCGTACGTTTCCTGAATTAATTGTTCATGGGTATTTCATTAATTGAATATCAACGGCCGGGTATTTGATTTAATTTAATAGCCTACTGTCACATTGACTAAATTGAATCCGTAATTGTTCGTTTAGTTGATACCTAGTGACAATCACCATAATTGGCTTTATGTTGGGGAAACGTAAGATCTAATTTAAATAAACCTTCTTAGCGTGTTTATTAGTTAGGGTTGGGTTCTTCTAGCATTAATGCAATTGGGTAATTAAATTCCTACGGTCGTACCTAGGGTTGTTATCTGGTTAGGGAAGCAGTCAATGGTCGTACCTTGATTGTCGAAAAGTAAGGAAGAACTGGTTGTCAGAGCTTGTTGATAATTATAACCAACCTAGTGATGAATGGATGAAATATCTTTGAATCGATGATCATTTAATTGGACCGTGCCTGAATAGTTGATCATTTGCGTAGAACTTCATTAATTGCTACTTTTAGTAACTTGTGCTTTGTGAATTATTTTTGAATTTAGTTTGCTTTATTTTTATTCTTATTTTTTATTTGCCTCCCATTAAAAATCCCCCAATTTTATTCTATTGACTTGGAAAGAAATAATTTCCTACCCGCTTCCTGTGGAATCGACCCTATTTGCCATTGTATGCAAAATTAATATTTTTATAGACAAATCTGGTATATCGGATTAAGCAAACTCTTCGGGAACAGGGTGAATCAAGTAACCCATTGCACACCTAGAATCCCTGCTCCAGTATTTGGATTTGCTCTATAATTAATTGTGGTGGTAATTAGTACTTTTTAGTAATTATTATTGCACAGGTTCGGCACCTGTCCATCAACCTGTACTAATGTTGAACTAGTAATGAGATTCTAGGGATTTATTCACGTTCATTGGATATATTTATCACTTAACTTACTTTAATTAGAATTGACAATTGTTCCAAAAAGAGTAACGATTTCAACTTTTTCTTTTTTTTTCGGATAGAAACCATCATTTTATTCATATGATCCGCACTAATGGTGGAAAAAGTAATGGTTTCAACTTTTTAAATATTCGTTTTGTTCACAGTTTAATGTTCTTGCAACAGGCTGTCATCCGATTGTGGACTTTTTTCTTTTTCTTGATTCTATTTCTATTTTTTGTATGCGTTCCTCGTACTTTGTTCTTCTATTTTCATGTTTAATACATTGAACAAGACAACAATAAGAAAGAATCTTTAAAGAATTTTGTTATACTGCATTTATAGGTTCCAATGAATATCTTCTATAACGTTGATACAATACTTAGGTTCCTCAATCTATGAATGAAATCCCAAAATGTTATTGAGATTTGGATTATAGTCCTCCCTTGAGAAACTTCTCTCAAGTACAATGAAGTTCTCAAATTTGAACGAACGGTAAACAGTATCTCAAAGTTCTTCGTACCTCTTACATAGCTTCTCAAATCTACTTATCTAAAACACTGATTTTGCTTCTTCTGAACAACTAACTGAGCTTCTTCTTAGCATCCATTTTTTTCATTTCATCCTTTGATTGTTGGCAAAAAATTTTTGGGATTTACATTCGGCCAAAGTTCAAGAGACATGTGAGCTAAAATCAGGCCTACCACATGTTTGACAAAATGTCCAAGTGAAAACGAAACTCTTCCTCTGTTATCTGCACCTGAAGCGTCAACTGCCACAACTGCCCAGCGGACCGCCTCACACCTGCCGCTCAGATGGCCGGTGCGGCTACAAAGCCCTATCCGCCCTTAGGGGTGGCAGGAAAACCTCCTGTGGTGAAGTCTTTTGCTGCTGCTTTAACAGGCAACGCAACTGCTTCGTCATGCAATGACATTATTCCGGATTTTGGCCAGCTTTCAACCTTTCGTGAGGAGCCGGCACTTTTGATATCTCGCGAAGAAATTTTAACTCTTTCTGAACCATTTAAGAATTTTCTTGTGGGCAGGTTTGCGTATAGCAGGCCTCCTATGGAGCTTATTAGAAAATTTTTTGTTTCGCTTGGATTGAAAGGGGATTGCCCAGTTGGTTTATTAGATAACAATCATGTGCTTTTTCGGCCATGTCTGGAAGAGGATTACATGCATCTTTTTGTCCGAAGATCATGGTTCGTGCAGAATTCTCCCATGACCATCTCTAAATGGACTATAGATTTCAAGGCAGATCATGAAGCATCAATTGCTCCTATCTGGGTATCTTTTCCTGATCTTCCTCTTCCGTTCTTTAATATGAAGTATTTGAATAAGATTGCATCGCTCCTTGGGAGGCCATTGAAGAATGATGCTGCAACTTTAGATTTTCGTAGGCCATCCGTAGCTAGAGTATTAATTGAGTTAGATGTATCAAAGGCGCCTACTCGACGTATTTGGATTGGTGATGACTCTAAGGGTACATGGCAAAAAATTGATTATGATTTTTGGCCCGAATTTTTCCATCATTGTGCAAAGATTGGGCATACTCAAGATCAATGTTTTAAAAAAAATCCTCTTCTTCATC